ACACACACACACACACACACACACACACACACACACACACACACACACAAAACCAACGTTAAAAACCCTCTATGCCCTAAGCAAAAGTTAAAACTGGGTCTCTGGGAGGCCGGGTAAGATGACCTTGACTACAGTGCCCTGTTTAGAACTCTGTGTTGTTGGGGGAGGGGAGCTTGCCTAGTGTGGTCCCGGGTTCCATCCCCAGTGGTGTAAAGAGTAAAACAGGTACCTTGCAGACCAAGACTCAACGTTCTCTCCCACTGCTCTCCTCAGGATCCTGGCCTCTGCTGACTTGGGGCCTGTTTTCTCTTGAGACATGCTCAGTTAGATCCTGTCTAACTTATTAAGTTGCCTGTCTAAACTGAAGGGTCTGTTTCTTGTCATAAAGAAAAGGACTAGTGCCTCTTAGGGCCTGATCAGTCTGTAGGGCTTCAGAAGATGTAATAAATGAGGCTGGGCCTGGTACTACCCCCAGGGAACAGGACCCCAGGCACTCAGGTCCTATACCCTCTCTACAGAAGGAAGAGGAAACAAGGAAACCTTGGCAATACTCACTTGTCCAGTCTTCTTCAAAGCAATGCAGGAAGTGGAATCCCACCATGATGAGGGCGTGCAAGGAAATGAGAGCTATGTACATCTGAAACAGGAAAGCAGTGCTGAGCCATTGTTGGGATTCTCCTAACCGTGAGCCTCCTTGAGCAGCTACTCAGAACATGTCCTACATGAATGCTCTGCTAGCCGGAGGCCAGAAAGGTACCCGTGACTCCTCCAGGCCAGACCCCCTATTCTTGTTTTGAGTAGGATGTTAGCTATTCTTTGGCAATATGTGGAACCACAACAGAAGCACAACCTAAACACAGGCATGACTCAGGCTGTGGGGCACATAAAATCTGCTGCTGCTTCTAACTTACAGGCCACAGTGCCAACTATTCTCCATCTACCTGTAGCTCAGAGTTTGAGTCCACCAGCAACACTGCCTTCTTTAGCTATGTGGGCCTAGTGCTCGAGTGGTACCCAGAACATAGCACTTGCCTCCAGCTAGTCAAACCAAATCAGCTTCCTACACGCACAGAAAGTGAAGGACATCTGGTGAGCCAGAGAGGTCTTGAGAAGGCAGAGAGCCACACAGTAGGCAGTGTTCTCAACAGCAACAAAGACTGCTAAGAGTGCTAAGATTTTTCAAAGAAGTAATGAGTCCTCCTGCCTCATAGAGGCAGACTTCAGACACTGACTTACCGTAAATAGGACAAAGTACTTCTGGTTGTTTTCGCCGACACAGTTGTTGACCCAAGGACAGTGGTGGTCCATCTTGCGAATGCACCGCTTACAAACACTGAAATGACCCATAATTCAGACCTTCAGCAGGGGTAACCATCATACAGTTTGAAAACAATCACTACACAAGTAACAAAGCCGCAGGTACTGGGGTGACCTGGCTTCAGCTCGACACCTCTGCAAGAAGACTGGACTGCAGAGTCACGACTTCCGGGGTCAAGTCACTCCCCACTAGGAGTCAGAAGCATTTGCTTCTAAGGCGTCTGCACATGTTAACAGGCCAGAACTGGTCCAAGTAAGGGGCTATTCTGAAGCCTCATAAAACTTAGAAATGGGGTTTCCTGAGGAGACCAAGTTTGGGAAATGTTATTGTAGGACAGGATGCAGGGAAAGGGCTGGCAGGAGTCCAGAAGTTCTACTGAACACTAGCAGAAATGGAGTATACTTTCTCAAGCTGTAGGAAGTGTAGTAGCTTGGCAGACTTGGGTCTGCTGGGCTACCTTACTCAAGTGGTGGGTTTCTGTCAGTTTGACTCAGACGAGCAGAGGCTTCACACTGCCCTCCACCCTTTCTCTTCCCATCATTCCAAAGGCCTCATCTCATGACACAGGCAAGCTGCCAATAGGCACTGCTCAGAAGTGCTAGCCTGGTTCCATGATCTTCAGGAGCAGGAAGGCAAGACAAGAAAAGGAGGGCCAACATGGATGCAGAAACAAACAGTCAGCTCCAGCAACCATACCACTAGTCTGTCTGCTCTGTCTCTTCTGTTCCCAGCTCTAAAAATACACATGAAAACACATGTGAATTATGTACATAATAAATTGATTAACACTTTCGTTTGTTTGTTTTTCAAGACAAGGTTTCTCTGTGTAACCTGGTTGTCTTGGAAGTTGCTCTGTAGACCAGGCTGGCCCAGAACTCAAGAGACCCACCTGCTGCCTTTGTCTCCTAAGTGCTGAGATTAAAGGTGTGCATCACCATGTCTGACCTTCCCACACACAATTTTAAAGCACGCAAGTAGTGTAGAATGGTCTGCTCGCTATGTACCAGGCCTGTTCACCATGGATGGAATCACCACATCCTGTTTATTTTATGGGCATGCAAGCCAATGCATCGAGCTCTAGGGTCCTTTATCCCTACTCATTTGAGGAACAAACTTCTGAGAGTAGCTACTTCTTGCCTAGGCTCCTAAGCAGGTCCTCTTCCACCCTACTTATTTCTAGGGCAGCTTTCAAGTACATGCTCGAGTCAGTGAGGGGTCCACTGTAGAGAAGCACCAAGTGGCCAAGTGGCCTCTGGCTCTGTGGGCGATGGAGATTTTAAACGAGTTCTCATAGCAAAGCCATCCTTCACACTCTGAAGAAAAAAGGTGTGGAAGAGCCAGAAGCTGAGTTTCACAAGGGGCTAAGTTGTGCTGGGCAGTCAGGTTAGACAAACACATGCTTAAGGGAGCAGGGAAAGTGACTGTAGCCCTTGAGGGTAGTATAGGTGGATGTTTCCTGTTCTCAAGGACTGAGGTGCCTGCCAAAGCAGCACTTCTCTTCTCCTTGGGCCGGATGGCTTCATGCAGGGCAGGCAGGGCTCTAGGGCCCAAGGCTGTAGCGACTGAGGGTGAAGCAACAGTTACTGAACGCAGCAGATGCTCTCCACAGAGGTCTTTCTGGTGCTGGGCCTTCTAGATTTCCCTCACTTCTCCTATCTTTTATGCCACTGTTTTCTCCCGTCTACCACTTCCTCGCCACATTTCAGCCCCCTGATCTCAGGAGAGAGTGACAAGGCCTTTGGCTTAGATACATTAACAGGTCCACTCTTGGGTTGTGTTCCATCTCCAGGAGGCATAAGGAACAATCTTTGATGTGTAGCCTTTAAGCAGCTAGCAAAAGTTCTCTTAATGGTCCCGGGTGCTGGGCCAGCCTTAGACACACAGGAGCACTTATCATGCTGTTACGCTGCACAAATATGCCTGTCCTGACTCAGTGGAGGGACTCTGGGCTTAGCCTGGCTGGATCTGAGTGTGAAGGCTAGAGCTCACACAGACAGGAAGCAGGCAAAGAGAATGGGTGCAACCCCAAGAGAGCAGGGGAGAGACAGAGGGAGCCATGCTTTCACACAGAGGATTTCATTACACACCTCACTGACTCATAAAACTATAGGCAAGGTAACAAGCATCCCATACTCTAGATTAAAACAGCTCTGAAAAGACAATGAGGCAAGGAAAGAACAGAACAGGGATCCGAGGGCAGAGTTCCACTTTGTGGCTGGACAAAGAAACAGGCCCTCCAAACCAGCCTAGACTGCCATCCTGTTCCTCAGGTGAGCACCAGGTCACAGGACAATGTACTTGGTGACTGTGAGGACTGGAAAACTAACAACTGGAGTCTGTCAGGGTTCTAGGAAGCTGATGAGGGCTCAGCCTCAGTGTGTGTGGTGGGGTGGGGGTTATAGGAAGCATGGGGTGTTAGGCCCAGTCAACGCCAGGCTTACCTCCCCTGGGAACTTATCGTAGAATTTACAACAGCATAAACCCTCAGGATTCTACATGGCCTCTGGTCCTCACACATGGGAGGACCCCAACAGAATGAAAGCAGAAAGCTGGGCCTCACAGGGGCTAAGGTGTGGTGGGTAACCGGGTTAAACAAACACATGCTTGAGGGAGCAGGAAAGTGACTAGCCTGGGGTTATAGGTTTCTGCGAGAAGAAAACACCTACCTACAGATGCAGGGCTGGAAGGCAGACTCTAGATCAGTGGTTCTCAATCTGTGGGTCTTGACCCCTTGAAGGACCCTTTCACTAGGGTTTCATATCAAATAAATACCTTGCATATCAGATATTAACACATTATAATTCATAAGAATATCAAAATTACAGTTATGAAGTAGAAGAGGAATAATTTTATGGTTAGGGTCACCACAACATGAGGAACTGAATTACAGGGTTACAGCATTACCAAAGTTGAGAAGCACTGCCCTAGATGGAATGTTTTGTGCTTGGCTGTGATCCCCACCAGAGTTCTGGGAAGGGAGACAGTATCAACTTCTACAGACTCTACCAGAAGCAGGGATATAGAAGGCAGGCAGGCAGGCAGGCAGGCAGGCAGACACACACACACACACACACACACACACACACACACACACACACACACACACTTCTCTAACCAGGACCACATAGCAGCCTCTGAGCTAACAGACCATGAACCTCCTCAGTATGTGTCATGTTCTGAATAGCCTGGGTCACCATACACCACCATAAAACAGCAGCTGTCAGCATACATTTTCTGGGGCAGACACAGGTATTTCAGTGCGCTCACAAGGTTACTCTGAACCAGCAGTTCTTGCTGTGCTCAGACTGTTTCCTGGCACTTGGATGTCCACTTTGGTTCATTTTGGGGTGGAGGTGAAGAGCTGGCGGTAGCTGTCGTAAAGAGAACATCAGGTGTTGGGCCACACAATAAGGAGAGAGAGAAAAGCACCACTTGGTAGAGTGACAGCTGTTTCCTGAAAAGTTAACTCTCTGGTTCCTGCCCTAGCCTCTGTATCTTTAACCACCTTCACATGGTCTCGGTCGCTCACTGCTGGTCACTCATAGCTAGTTACATTCAGTCCTCACAACGAGGAAGGGACCTGGCCTGAGAACTGCACTGGATTTTAAAACACAAACCTCTCCAGCTTCAAGGTCAGGCCTCCGGGGTGGAAGAAGGGTAATAAATGCTATCTCAGGAAGCAAGCCTCAACACACCTCAAAGGCAAGTTTAAAGCAAGACTGAGCTCCTCAGGAAAAGCAGAGCTTACCCACCCAACACTCATAGCTGCCACTGTGTAAATCCCCTTCAAACCGGAGGCCCTAGGTAAACACTGAGAACCATGAGGCCCCAGAGCCAGAATCCAGACCTGTCTCAAATATCCACTTGCTGTGTGACCTTACAGCAGTCATTCAACACCATGAGGCTAGCTTCCCCATCCCCACTTATCTCTAGGAGTGGCCATGAAGACAGAAGTGAGATTGGTGATGAGGAGAGAGGGAAGACTGAGGAGCTGACTGACACCAGGGTGACAGAAATACATCCTTTCACTGAGACTACACAAGACCTTTCAGCCACTCAGTGATCTCTTGCTTATTCACAATCTCCCTCCCTCCCTCCCTCCCTCCCCCCCCCCCCCTCCCTCCCTCCCTCTCTCTCTCTCTCTCTCTCTCTCTCTCTCTCTCTCTCTCTCTCTCTCTCTCTCTCCAGTGTTTCAAGCTAGCAAAGCAATTTCCTCCAAACTCTTCTCACTCCAAACATATAGCATGTTGTAAAGATAACCAAATGACACTCTAGGTCTTTGTAATTTGCCATTTATAGATCCCTTAAAATGAAGAAATGCAATTTTTAGCTCCACATCCTCTCATCAAGAAGACCCAAAGAACCTTGATGATACAAAGGGAACTCCCAGAACAGCTCAGAAAACAGGCTTCTGCTTAAGAACTGTGCTTGTCTCATGCACTGTGAGTGTTGTTTCAAGGAAGGTCTGAGTGGTGCCTTTGTCTCAACGACTGGACACTCACAGATTGGCCAAGGCTTTGAGGTATCAGGAAATCAGGAATCTCTCAATGTTACAGACGCTGAATAAGAGGTTTCGTCAGGCATCCCTTGCCCACACAAATGCCTTTTCCAACCTAGTGGTCACTCCTTGCCTGGGTGGGACACTCAGAGGTCCCAGTGCTGGCCTGGTGCTGTGGAGAGCCCACGGTACCTGCAGTGGTGTGCCCGGTCAGGCTTGATGCTGCAGCACTTGGGACACTTGTACACCACTTGCCCAGGCTTCAGCTGAAGGCTCTCGATGAACTCTTTAGTAGCATTTCCTTTGGGCACTGCCCCCTAAGAGAACAGGAAAGGCATCAGGGTCAGTTGTCACTCTGTAGTGGAGGCAATGATGTCAAAGCCCCACACACATGGGCTCTGTGCTCCAGATCACAATAGGCCATACTGACCTTGGGATTAATGTTTTGCTTTCATTTGTCAGCACTGTTTTTGTTTATCTATTCTTCCCCCTGGGAACATCATGGTAGTGGTTGGGCTCACTGACTCTTCAGAGCAGGGCCTTTGGGAAGGGCCACTGCTGAAAGCATATCCCACAGCTCACCTCTTCCATGCCAAAACATGCTGCCTGATAGTCAGTGGCTTCTGCTTTCCTTTTGTTACCTGTGTGACTATTCTGAAGGATGGACACTGTATTCAGAAACAGGCGCCTTTGGTACCTGACATGGCACTCCACACCGGTAATGTTAATACTTGTACTCTGGTTCTACAGTCTGTTTGGATTCTGCACACATCTGAACAGGACACAGACAGAACACCAACTTGTGCAGGGTCTCAATAGCCAGTGCCACCAAGTACCTACCTGAAGCCAAGCCCTGTGCTCACCATTCGTCACTATGGACTCAGTCTCCAGGATTTGTGTTTTCCTCCCACATGTCCACCTTGCTTTCCCCACAGGTGCTGGGGCATATGTGCTGTGGAAATTACTGCACTAAGAGATCAGAGGAGGCAATAACTAATAACCAATAACTAATAACCAAGGGACAGAAGTTATAAGACACTGATGTTAAGGGCCGCTGAGGAATGGAAGGACATGCTCCAGGTAGAGCTGTGGGACAAAAGTGACCACAGAGCTCATGCCAGGCCATAGGCTAGGGGTGGGGGATTCTCTCTGGGTGGCCCAGCGTCATCAGTGGTACAGGCAGATGCTTAGGCCCCCGTGCTTCGTGAGCCAGATAAGCAGATGAACAGAATGACTACTGGTGGTTCACTAAGGACACAGCACAAGTGGAAGAGAGACGCAGGTACCAGACATGACAAAGCCTGTAGAACAGAACTAGCTAAGACTGTGGGTGAGGTGGTGACAGGAGAGAAGCACCAACAGGGGGTGAACTTTCAGCTGCTGGTAGACTGTCAGCCATACCAGAGTAGCAGAGAGGCAGCTGGCCCAGGAAAAGGTGTCCAGCACGATGGCTTGAAGTATTATGGATCAAGAAAAAAGGAGCAATTAGTGGTATAGCACAGGGGCACTAACTAGGTCTGCTTTAAGTCTAAGCCCCACACTTGAAAGTGGTGTGGCCACAACAGGTGCCATCACTGTGCTTTTGCTTCCTAATAAGTGACCCATTTATCCAGTACCTGGGATTTACAGCAACAGGAAGTTTATGGGAGGCGCTCGGGTGGTGCTCTCCACAGCCGAGTGCTCAGGAGAAGGTCATCCAGACTTGGAGTGCAGCAGTGCACCAACACTGAAGCTGTGAAGCTCTACAACACGCCTAGACTCTAAGGAGCACTGCTGTACAAGGTCAGCAGGGAGAGAGCCTGTGCACCCGCGCTGCACAACAAACCTAATAGGATCCAGAGAGGGGGTGTGGGGGGGGAGCTTCACACCGAGCACCTCTCCCTCCACCCCTGACTAAGTCTGACAAACTGGAACAGGCCAGCGAGGCAGAAGAAACAAGAGCTGGTTGTTAGGTTCTATCCTATGCAAGAATTTTAGGAAGGGAAAAACTTCTTAAGAAATGCAAAGACACATGCAAGTTGTGATTTGCTTTTGCCACCGAGAAGATGCCTCACAGGGAACAGACTCCAGCTAAAGTGACTGCAGACACCGATGCAGTGAGGTGGGCCAGGAAAGTAGGTGCCAGCCCCCAGAACTTCCTATAGACCTTAGAGAGCCCACACAGGGCTGCCAGAGGAAGTCCCCTTGTAAAGGTAACCAGAGCCTCATGTAATATTCTCATTATGCTTATTAGTCAGCTGGTGATTAGTCTTCCTGAAAGTGTGCCTCCAATTATACAAACCTCCCAGAAGGCTCCTTCCCACCTGGCCAGCGACCTGAGCCTGTGATGAAAGTGCCTTGAGGTTTCCAGCAGGGTCCCCTCCCCACCTTCCACAAAATTGCCTCTTCCACACTTGTCTGCTGGAATCTCAGGACTGTGGAAACTTACTACCTCATGGAGAGGAACTGATAAATACTTGCTTATATTTTTTTCAAAAAGAAAAATAAGAAAATATAGGGGGTGGAGAATTGGCTCAGTGGTTAAGAGCATTGACTGTACTTCCAGAGGTCCTGAGTTCAATTCCCAGCAACCACATGATGGCTCACAACCATCTGTAATGAGATCTGATGCCCTCTTATGGTGTGTCTGAAGACAGCTACAGTGTACTCACATACATTAAATGAAGAAAGAAAGAAAGAAAGAAAGAAAGAAAGAAAGAAAGAAAGAAAGAGAGAGAGAAAGAAAGGAAGAAAGAGAGAAAGAAAGAAAGAGCGAGCAAGGGAGGGAGGGAGGGAGGAAGAAAGAAAAAGAAAATATAGAGATAGGAAAGGGGGAAAGAAAAAAACCTGATTTGAAAAACCTGATTTGATCACCCAAGAGAAGTATTACCTACATTGTGAAGTACTTTACAAGTCTTTTCTCTTGATACACAGTAGGCTGTGAACACTTAAAACCACAGCAGCCCCATGACAAAGCAAGAGAAAATGTGGCTAACTCAGTCCATAAAAGCATGGAGAAGTCGCTGGAGGTTTTCCGTGCTGGGCATGGCATAGCCCTCTCTGCTCCTGTTCAGTGATATTCTGGCTGCCATGTTATCCAGGCTAGAAACGTAGTGGCAAACTTCAGGCAGGTCTTCCCCGCCTGCGATTCCCTTCCTCTCCTCTGCTAAGGCTACTTCTGCCTAAAACTGCCCTTATCCCACAGTCTTCTCCACACCACCATCACGGGCTTTCCTGGCCCTACCAGCTGCCGATTACTTCTAAAGCAAACATTCTAAATTGTGAATGCCCGTATGATTTTTGTCATAAAGCACTCACTAGCTCCCTGGTGATTATGGATCAGAGTTTGAGCTCCTGGGTCAGGTGCACAAGCCACACCTGACCCCAGTCTAGTGCTGGGTTCCTCCTGTCCCCAGGACAACATGTTAGCTCCATCTAAAGCCCTCTAGGAAGTTTGGCAAGAAGCATTCAAAGTCCTCTGTCCCCATTTCAAAACCACTGTCTTCTTCCTCAGAGCCTGAACCTGGGGAAGTGCTCACAGCAGGACACTACAAGCAACTTTGACTTCCACAGTCTACGCTAGCATTCTCAAGACACACTGTAAAATTACATACGGCATCTCCAACATGACTGTGAATTCCCAGGAGGACAGAGACAATGTATTCCAACCTATAGCCTAGCAAATTGCTCAGGGCCTGGCGTTAGGCCTGCATTCAATATAGCTGAGCCAAACAATAATGCTACAGCAGACATTTATTGAGTACTTATAAAGTACAGGCATAGTTTCAAATGTTTTGTGACTGAAAGCATTTTTTTTCCAGTTAATTTTGAAAAAAAAAAAATCTACGAGTGGGCAAAGGCTATGTGCTCCCTCATTTTACAGCAGAAGTGAGTAGAGCAGAGACAGCTCCCAGGACAGTGTGGCTAAGGGCAGCAGACTGAGGATCCAGGCCCAGGACAGCGTGGCTAAGGGCAGCAGACTGAGGATCCAGGCCCAGGACAGCGTGGCTAAGGGCAGCAGACTGAGGATCCAGGCCCAGGACAGAGTGGCTAAGGGGCAGCAGATTGAGGATCCAGGCCCAGGCAACAGACAAGGCACAGGCATGTTTATTAGGCAGGTTTACTAAGAGACTTAGACTGAGAAAAGCTTTTTTCTTTATTGTTTTGATGCTATCTATCACACTCAACTGCCAATGACTGTATTAACAGTACATGAATAAGAAAATTAAAAATAAGGCTCGTTTCAATCATACCTAGCATAAAGCACACAAAGGAAAGCAGTGGAGACAAGAAACTCCCAACAAGAGACTGAATTTAAAAGGAGAAAAGCAGCAGCAGCAGGAGGAGGAGGAGGGAGAGGAGGGTGTGGTGGTACACAGAAACAGCTGGGTCTCTGAATTCAAAGCCAGCCTGATCTACACAGCCAGTTTCAGGCCAGCCAGGACTATACATTGAGACCACATTACAAGAAAGGAAAAAAGAAATGGAGCTGGAAGGATGGCTCAGTGGTTAAAAATACTTGTTGCTTTTGCAGAGGACCTGAGTTCAGTACCCACATGAGGTGGCTCACACACCTAGCTCCAGGGGGAATCCAACACCTCTGGCCTCCACAGGCACCAGCACAAATGTGTACACACCCACTTACATGTACATACATACACATAATTGAAAATAATAAATACAACTGAAAAGAAAGATTATGCATCACTGATTCTTTCAAATGATATCAAGGACTTGGCATTGCTATCCACTTGCAGCAAGAGAATGAGAGGTACTGTGATCTCAAGGCTGGTGTCACATATGCATACCTGTTGGTTTGGGCAAAAATGTCCCTCACAGCTAGCACCCCCAGGAGATGGATGGCCACTATCTGTATACAAAGGCTGGAGGTAGGTGACCCAGATAGGACTTTTTCTTCTGGTTTTGTAGCTCGTTCAGAGACAGGTGTGAGGAGCCCCTTGACATAAGAGGAGTCTGAACCCTACACTGACCCCGGATGACCCTAACCAGCGAAGGGAACACACCAGAATAAAGTCTCCATCAAGAAACACCAGTTATAGTGAATTGAGCCCCAGTGTTTCCACTGATGATGTGCACAGTGAAGACTACAGTGTTCTCAGAAAGTCACAGAAACTGGTGTTCTGTAGAGGGGTTCACAGGGACTTGAAGTGTGGTACCGGCAGGCAGATTCTCTTTCTTAGCACTTTAGTCAAATTGAGCAGATTTATACCACGTCTTTCTTCAGTTCTCAGACTTGAAATAATTTATGGGGTAGTAAATGGTTAGGCCCAAGGAAAGAAAAGGCAGAAAGGAGCTGACCACATAGGGTCATGCAATT